GTCTGTGGCATACAGTGTGGCCACTGCTATGCGATACACATACTCGCAGACAATAACTGTTTGCTTACATAACAAACACAACAATTGAATCGATTGGCGAGTGTTTAGACTGTATTTCGCACGGATTTCTCACCATTTGATTGACTCTAATGCGGGTCTCATAGACTCATACACTCCGCACAGCACTGACTGACAGTCACTCACACTCTCGTCGATGCTCTCAATGTTTCGATGCATTCATTGAATGCCTGCAACGCCTGTGACGCACAACAACACAAACACACTATCGATAATCGATGCCAACAACCATTTATTCAACCCTTTACTGCCGTCACGTTATCGTTGAATGCATGCCACTGCAAATCAGTACCTTTTATGACTACATAACACTAATAGTTGCCATTTAGAAAGGCACTCAATTCTTAGAGACTTTTAATTACATTTGTAATCGCAATTAATAACTTGATGAGTTAACATATTAATAATTTTATAGAGTAGGGTAAAAGTTACGATGACTTGCAAACGTTTAAAGCTATAAAATATAATCCCACAAACCTAAATAACCCAGATATTGCGTAAGTTTGTCATAAAGTTGAGTATACCATGAAATGATAATCTGTAGATAAGATGCATTGAAAATGAATAAATTTTGTGAACAATATTTTATACGATATTAAACGTCGGCAAACCATATGAAATATGGCACCTTTCTATACAATGATAGCTACGATATGAAAGTAAATAGCGTACGAAATGGGCCCAAATGTGTGCTCATATGTGTGGCTCGTGGTGTACTGAGTGGTGATGTCATCTTTGGGCGTATCTCTAGCCTATGTCTCTCAGCAATGTATGTGTAGCACGTGACGGTAAAATAATAATAAATAGTAAAATAAATAATTTAGTTTATGTTTAGGTCAATAGTAAACAATTAGTAAACCCTTTGGTTAAGTAAGTGTGTTTGGTAACTATTGGCTCAGCACACAGGTCAAGTGAGTGAATGGTATACAGCTGTCAATGCAGTCACGCATAGGGTTAGTGTCCATACAATCAGTGCACTCCTATTAACGAGAGAAAAGTGAGCGAAAGAGTCGACTATTTGTGCAAAAAACAAAACTTTGACAACAAATACATCGCGTGTTTGTGACCATTGGTTGCGAGTGAGTGACCGCCGAAGACACCCACCGACAGACCAACCCATGCGTTGATCCCGTGATAGTGGGCGCCAACGCACAGACACACAGACGTGGACCGCAATGATGGACACAATGGAGGCGTCGATGTCGCCAAACATGGCTCAGAGCCAGAAGAGGGCCAACATTAACATCAATTACCAGACAAACGGCGGTCCCATGGGCTCAGAGACGCACAACTGCGCGCCGATGGGACAGTCGTCGCAACAGTCGACGGCCGGCGCTCAGCAGTCGTCGGTCCCACCGCTCAACTCGATGCCCGGCCCACAGATGGGTCAGACCGGGTCGCCCGGCAGTCAAGCACCCGCTCAGCCCACATACTCCATCCCCGGGATTGTCCACTATTTACAGTACGAGTGGCACCGGTTTGAGATGCAGAGGCAGCAGTGGGAGGTTAGCATCCATTTGTCCATTCACTACATCCCTGTCCCCATCACTGGCTACAAGCATGTGAAGCGAGTGCTTATTTGTTGCTTGAGTTTCGGAGTTAATTGTTTTGATTGATTAGCGAGTGTTTCATGTCTTATGGATTTGTGTGACATTTATATTGTTTTAAATGTCATTTTCATAAGTTTTTTGTTATCGATTTGTTGACTCCTTTTTTCTTATCGTTGCAGTCATTGAACTCGTGTTTTCTATCGATGATTGCAATTATGTTTATTTTTACGTTTATCTCATTTTATGACAATATTTTGCATTTACTTTTTTAAATCTAATTTTGCTTATTTTAAATTATTTAAATTGATTTTTTTGACAATTATTGTGTCCTTAATTGACATAATATATTAGGGATTATAGTTTGTAGTGCAGTGTTATACCTATTATATGCCCTTTACTCACGTTTTTCAGTAATGGTTTACTAATTTAGTAAAAAACAAACTGAATAAAACCCGAGACTAATTACGTATGTTCTTCAGCTGATAAGTAACTAAATATTTATTCGCAAAACACTCACATTCTGGTATTTAAGACAAGAATGAAATGTTTTCTATAAATAGATAGACTTTTTTAGTTAACTAACAGATCCCTACGTACACAAACACATGATTGCCATTCTGAATTACTTCACATAATAACTTATGTTCTTTATAAATCGTAAACAAACTTTGTTTTTCTTTTCAAAAAAAGTAAGTTTTCTTATAAATGAATAAATAAGTTTAATTATGAGTGAATACAATAAGCAGGAAAATTGCTGCGAGAATTAGATGTTGTGTCTAATATGTTATTTGAATACTTGTATTATTTATTAATTTATTTCAATTCAATTCCGAGACTTATTTTTCCATTTATTATGTATTTTGTTCTCTAATTCAATGCCGTTTCGAGTATATTATGAAACGATTTCCTAATTGTATTCTCTGTTATAATTGAGTTTTTGTTCATTATATTAAGCATTGAGTGGTGTTTTAGTTTTGTTTAGTGTTGGAAATCAACTCAAATACGAGTTTGTCTTTTCACACACAATGATATGATAATCGCCTCATAATATAAACTGAATTCAAATCGAAAATTAAAAATCAATTTATTATTTACTGTCAACTCATTTGGCTGTAAACCAGAGCTCAGAACTGAATGTTATTTATCACACACAATGATATGATAATCGCCTCATAATATAAACTGAATTCAAATCGAAAATTAAAAATCAATTTATTATTTACTGTCAACTCATTTGGCTGTAAACCAGAGCTCAGAACTGAATGTTATTTCATAAATAACTGTTTGACTGCAAGTATTAGTCGTTTTTCCATTCGCTATCAATTGATATATGATTGCCGTTTGAAAAAAGTTGTTATATTAATACAGTATATAAGTGTAATACAGATATTTTTGTGGCAAACATTTGTATTAATTGGTGTGTGTTTTATGTTTGCATTGACACATCGGACTGACAGGTGGAAAGGGCTGAACTCCAGGCGCGTATCGCACTCCTGCAGGGAGAGAGGAAAGGACAGGAGAACCTCAAGAATGATTTGGTCCGACGGATCAAAATGTTGGAGTACTGTCTGAGGCAAGAAAGGGCCAAATATCACAAATTGAAGTTCGGTTGCGATCCGCCAAATATGGGCGCTCCTCAGGATGAGCTCAAAGAACTCAATTCAGACTTAGAAGAGTCGCTGATGAGCGAGTCGGGCGGCCAGACAGCTGTCAACTGGAAACAGGTATGCGTTTTCTTATACTATACCTCCAATCATAGTCCTCTAATCTCTGTCAATAATATACACTCTTCTAGTCGTTGAGTTGTTTTAAATGTTTTAAACATTTTTCATCTCAAGTCAGTATTCGTTTTACTTTTAGTTTTGACGAAATATCTCATAAATTTTCGCATTTTTTCTCGCAATCTATTCAATTGTATGAATATTTAGCGAGTTTTCGTGATTTTCAGTCACGTCTGAATCATTTCACGTGTTTATGAGTAGTTGTGTTGTTTTTTTTTGTTGAAACTGTATTTTAAATCAATCATAAAATAGTCATTAATTTTATGACTTATTATTCATTTTAATGGTTATTTAATTCACTTTTAAAATTTGCGATCAAAAGGGAAGACAGCTATTGCGACAGTATTTACAAGAGATCGGATACACGGACACCATAATCGACGTCCGGTCCAATCGAGTCCGTAGTCTATTAGGTCTGACAACGAATACTAGTTTAGAGGACTCGCAGACCGTTGGCCAGGACTCAGGCGACAGTTCCAGCAGAAAGCTTAATGACGGAGACGTTGAGGGCTATAAAACACGTTTAGTGCGGAGAGACCTGAACCGAAACGCGTGGAAACCCGAGCAGACTATAGTGACTGACGCCGAGGCCTCGGTTTTGGCCACTTTTGAGTTCCTTAACGAACAGAGAGAGGGACGCAATGCTGAGGACGGGGATGAAGAGGAGGACGAGGAGGACGGCTGCGACGATATGGATACGGCCAGGAGTGCGGGCCCCTATGCCATCGACTCCGAGACTGAGGAGGTTTTGGCTGAATTCGACTTCTTGTCCACTCATCCGAGTGGTGAACAAAAGGACGGCTCTCCATGGGGTCGGCCCGGTATGACACTATGACATGAATTTTTGTTTTTACAGTATTTATGATTTGAATGTTTCATTGAAATGAAGGCTCGGGTAAGGATGTGGTGGACATCGGGGAGTTGGCGGCGCTGACAGTGGCCAACGAGTCGCTCGATATGAACGGATCGGCCGCTAACTCGCAAATGAGTACAGAGTTTAGAAGGACATGGAATCCTAGATATATTCTTAAGTAATACTCACTTTTCATATTGTTTTGGCATTTATTTATATGCAGTATTAGGAAATGTAATATTAGTATACAGTCGTTTTATTTTGTTTCCTATTTAAAGTAATATTGCGAAACAATTGTATTTTTCTGATCACCGAAAAGATAACGTTTTTATGCTAATCGCTGATTGACTGATTAATATTTCTAATGATTGAACAAAAGTACAAATAGTGAAATTAGTAATAAATTGTTTTAAGTTTTACTGTATTGCGAGAATTGATTGCCTATTATAATGACTGATGGATTGACGGACTAATGCATTGGTTGCGTTTCAGATCACATTTCGATTGTGTCCGATGTCTGAGATTTCACGCCACGGAACCACTGCTGATAACCTGTTCTGAAGACGAAACACTCAAACTGTGGAATCTGAACAAAACCCAACAGTCAAACAAAGGTAAGCCCTCTATCGCACACTTTGAGTTCAATTGTCTAAAGAAGTTATAATTAGATTTAAATCTAATAATGATTTTAATTTTGAAGGCAAACAACAACAGCAGCCAATGGGTCCGACGGGTGGCACGACCTTTGATTTAGAGCCTGTATATACATATAGAGGTCACACGTCCCGAGTGCTGTCATTAACGGTGAATAACAATACGATATACTCCGGGGGACAAAACGGTCAGCTCATGATGTGGTCAATACCGGCCGATATCGCGAACATCGATCCCTACGATGCATACGACCTGAGCCTTCAAATATGTCAAATCGATGCCCACACAGACGCCATCTGGTCTCTGGTGGCCATCCCCTCGTCCTCATCGCCCACTCCTATACTATGTTCGGCAGCTGCGGATCAAACCATTAAGATATGGGACACATCACGAGTTCAATGCACTAAAACCATTACATTAGAAGGTATTTGTCATTGATTTTCGATACAAACTCCGACTATTTTGTAGTCTTATATGATATGAGTTTTAAAACATTGCGTTTATATTATAGGAACTACACGTCCGACGTGTTTGGCAGCCGTTGCGCCGCATAATAATAACAGTGAAAGCAGTTCGCCATCACTTCTGGCCGCCGCCTTCACTGACGGCTCAATCAGTGTCTACGACTTGGAGGTGACGTCGGGATCCAAACCTGTGCTCACCTTTGAAGCGGGCGCTCCCGGACGGGTCAATGCCGTCGCAGTGCACCCGACTATGCCTGTGGTGGTCAGCGCTCATGAGGACCGGCAGATTAAGTTATGGGACCTGAATAGCGGTTAGTAATGAGTTTATAATGGATTTTAGATAAATATTTTTCTTATATTAATTGCCAATTATGTATAAACAGGTAAATGTATTCACGCAATGGTCGCACATTTAGACGAAGTGACATGTCTTGCCTGTGATCCCAATGGACTCTATTTATTAAGTGGAAGTAAGTTATAAAACATTTTTTAAATTTAATTATTCATTACATAATTATAATGTTTTCAAAGTGTAAATTCAAAGTGATTTGCATTTAAATGTATTACGAATTACCATAATTTAATTACATTTAGAAAAAAGTTTCCGTTTTTTGTTTTTATTTACTTTTATAACAATTGCGCACAAAATTAGCAATTTATTAGACGCTCAGAGCTTTTATTTGAATTTATAAAATATATGTTTAATATGCGGTAATAGCTATTTATATCCTATTAATGGTTAAGAGTCTTTAACTTTTAAAAACAAACAAAAATATAAGCCATTAGTTAAGAATAGCCAGAATTCGTTAACATTTGTAATGTGCACTTTTAATACTTAAATCATGTTTTGTGAAAAGCGTTTATGGTTTTCACAAATGTTTGTATTTATGAATTGAATGACAATAAGTTGGGCCCACATATGGCTAACCGTACGGTGTGTCTGCCTCTGTAGGTCATGACTGTAGTGTCCGATTGTGGAACTTCGACAGCAGAACCTGTGTTCAGGAGATAACGTCGCACCGGAAGAAGTTTGACGAAGCGATCTTTGACGTGACATTTCACCCGAATAGGCCTTACTTCGCCTCCGGGGGCGCCGACGCGTTGGCCAAAGTGTTCGTTTGATAGTGACTTCCGTTTGTATCCAGAGATTCAATTGACTTCTCACTCACCACTCGACGACTGGACTATAGTTTGTTTATCTCTCAACTCCTCTGTCTTTATCTATCACTTCATTCGCCTATTATTTAAAAGTATATAAAAATATAACGACTAAAAGACTGCATAAAGACTTGTAATCTAATTATTATTAATTTAATTGAGAACTCAATCATTTGTATTAACAATAATTTATAGTATAAGAGAAACGCGAAGGAATTCCCTTTCTCTCGCGCTTTTCAGTCAATTTGGATGAAGTGTTTTGCGATGAAATGATGAATTTTTTGTGACAAAGTTTTTTTATAGGATATGATAAGAGAAATACCGTTAAAGGAATTTGCGATCAATTTATTAGATATTAATTTATTGTTTTTTATGTAATGTTTTTTTGAAGGAAATTATCGATTAACGAAATTCTAATATTTTTCATTGTTTTAGCTAAACATTATAGGGAAATGAAACAAACATCACTTTTTTATTTATAAATAACAATATTAAACATAATTCTTGTTTTTTCTTATTTTGGAAAAAGACACGAATAAGAAAAGAGAATATCATTTATTTTGTACCAATTTTTGCGATTAAATGTAATGTTTTTATTTTCGATTGTAATTTAGGAGAGAATTAATCAATTGGTTGATTGAATTGATTTGTGTTTATTTGTGAGATTATATACTCGTTTCTCTCCCCAATCCGTGTGGTTGTTGTTGTCAAGAGTTTTTCAGTTGAATTATTTTGTATTTAATAATTGTTTTGCGAAACTAAACAACTGTTACGATTAGGGAGAGAGCTTTCAAGACATTAAAAGGACGTAAAACAATAAAGTCTTAATTTTATTTGATTTCTTTTTTGAAACAGTAATTAAT